CTCATCCCACCAACTTTGGCCACTTCTGCAGTCATTAGTCTGGGATCCATTTTGATGCTCCTCTTGACAGCCCTTTTTGTCTTCTCCGATGGAACAGGACGACCCGGACGCTGCTCAGTTGTTTCCTTGCCGTGTTTCTTGAACTGCACGATGATTCTGTTGACTGTCGAAAGCTCCATAGTTTTTATAGTTACAGTGTTTCAAGTCTGCTAATGTGTATCTAACTTTATGGCATGGCTCCATAGTTTTTATAGTTACAGTGTTTCAAGTCTGCTAATGTGTATCTGACTTTATGGCATGACTCCATAGTTTTTATAGTTACAGTGTTTCAAGTCTGCTAATGTGTATCTAACTTTATGGCATGGCTCCATAGTTTTATAGTTACAGTGTTTCAAGTCTGCTAATGTGTATTTAACTTTATGGCATGGCTCCATAGTTTTTATAGTTACAGTGTTTCAAATCTGCTAATGTGTATCTAACTTTATGGCATGGCTTCATAGTTTTTATAGTTACAGTGCCAATTTTTATCTGACTTTCAGCTCCTGCTATTGGTAATTTTAGTACTCTATAAGAAGTTGGATGTATTGTTGGTGTAATTGATACTGATGTCATTGTTTTCAGTCCAAACAACATGTTTGAAACTTTACCCTTCTAGTAGGTGTTTCTAAAGTGTTGCACAAGTATTATTGAGTATACACCTGTCCATCACATGATAACAGTTAACGAGTCACTGTTTTAACTTCTTTTTTTTTTAATTTGAGACATTAACATTTTTAAATTTAATCATACAGTTGACCTGTTGGGCTCTGTGATGTTCAAAACCAGGTTAATTACATTTTAAACATGCTGATTTACAGACATTTTACTTTGTCATTTCTTTTTGACAACCCTAAATAATTATTTAGTTAATCCAATAGCTTGTATTGAAAACCTATTGTTTCCTTTGTTGTTGTTTTTCTAGGGAAAGTTATATGTTTTAAAGACATATATGGTCTTTTGATATACTTTTTACCCATTCAGCCTTGGACCTGCAGAACTGTGGGATTGGTGTTAAAGGTGCTGAAGCTTTTCTGGCCACCTTAGATGTCAACGTAGCTCTGGAAATTCTTGATCTCAGGGGAAACTCCAAGATAGGTAACATATTTGAGTTTTTTAAACAACCCATAATTCCATATAGATTTGAGATTGTTTTATCAGCTCCTTGTTTCAGTTAGTAGCCTTTATTAGGAGATCTACTCTCAGTGAAAATATTAGAGGGCTACGTATATTATCTAAGGATGATTTGGGACCCTCACCACATCGTTACAATCCACATCATACACTATCTGAAGTATATTATCTAAGGATGAGTTGGGACCCTCACCACATCGTTACAATCCACGTCATGCACTATCTGAAGTATATTATCTAAGGATGAGTTGGGACCCTCACCACATCATACACTATCTGAAGTACATTATGTAAGGATGATTTGGGACCCTCACCACATCATTATCGTCCACATCATACACTATCTGAAGTATATTATGTAAGGATGATTTGGGACCCTCACCACATCATTATCATCCACATCATACACTATCTGAAGTATATTATGTAAGGATGATTTGGGACCCTCACCACATTGTTATCATCCACATCATACAATATCTGAAGTATATTATCTAAGGATGATTTGGGACCCTCACCACATCGTTACAATCCACGTCATACACTATCTGATGATTGTGTATGTTGACAGTAGATTACAGTTTGTGTTGAACATGGTTTTTAGTTTACTTAATGCCAAATCTTGGTGAGTTACTTATCTTGGTCTTTATTTTTTATGTAGTCCTGAGGTCACTGATAAATGTCACTCAAGGGTGGACTGTGTTTTGTGATTTAGTAGGAACAAGCTTGTGATCATACCATATACACTTTTGTTAAAAGTGAGGGAAGGAGAGCAAGTTTAAGAACTAGTTAAGAAACATTTTTGCTAGAAAAATATTCAAAATGGGGTGGCACATGCCTCTTCTATCCCTCCTTATTAACCACGTGTGGATCATAAGCCTCTTCTATCCCTCCTTATTAACCACCTGTGGATCATAAGCCTCTTCTATCCCTACTTATTAACCACGTGTGGATCATAAGCCTCTTCTATCCCTCCTTATTAACCATGTGTGGATCATAAGCCTCTTCTATCCCTCCTTATTAACCACCTGTGGATCATAAGCCTCTTCTATCCCTCCTTATTAACCACCTGTGGATCATAAGCCTCTTCTATCCCTCCTTATTAACCACCTGTGGACCATACTGTAAATGAACTTGAAACTCAGGATATCTGTTTACTTTTTTCTTTACGAAGTTGCTTGGTTAGCTTCATAATTGTAATGTCAAATATCATTTCATAAGTCTTCCTAGTTGAGGGGAGATTTGTTTGTTCTAGTTGCTGTTTGAAAGCTAATTAGCTTTATAAAAACAACAGCTTTTAAAATATATTTACCTAATGGTGCCATACAAGCTGTAAGATGAGAGGTATTACGATTAAGCCTAAAAAAGAGGTAGAAGTAACTCATATCTGTTGTTCTGATCTAATATGCATTGCTATTTTCTCATGATTTAGCTCAGAAAGACAGTAACTCATTTTTTGGTAGAGTAACTATTGAAATGTATTATTAATTAACCCTATAATTATTGAATTCATTGTCTTTTTAAACTGTTTATGCACCAAATTGATTATGGGTCAACGGCTGTTGGATAGCATCCCTAGTAGTGTATGAAGCACATAAAAAAAGTTAAACAAACATATTTTTAATATTTCTTTTATACAGCTGTGGGGTGTTCTATATATATATGGTCACTTTTTCACATGGAGTGTCATAACAGGTCAAACTAATGTTACACAATATGTGGACCTCACTAGTAGTGGATGGTAAAAAACAAGATCAGGATTAAGTTTTTCCATGATGATCAGATCTATGATAAACATACGTCACATTATATACATCATCAAAACAAGATCAGGGTTAAATTTTTCCATGATGATTAGATCTACGATAAACATACGTCACATTATATACATCATCAAAACAAGATCAGGGTTAAATTTTTCCATGATGATCAGATCTATGATAAACATACCTCACATTATATACATCATCAAAACAAGATCAGGGTTAAGTTTTTCCATGATGATTAGATCTACGATAAACATACGTCACATTATATACATCATCAAAACAAGATCAGGGTTAAGTTTTTCCATGATGATTAGATCTACGATAAACATACGTCACATTATATACATCATCATACTGATTGGGATGTAACTGTAGTATATATCATTTGTGCTCTTGTAATCTTTTTACAGGAGGACAGTTAATACAAAAAATCTTGGAGAAGCTCAAAAGAAATAATGAAGGAAAGCTGTGTGAGGTAAAGTGAAGTAATAATTATAATTAGTGTGATCAAGGTAAAGTGAAGTAATAATTACATTAAATAATGTGTCCAATGTAAAGTGAAGTAGTAATTACCATAAGTAGTGTGTCCTCCATAGTAAAGTGAAGTAGTAATTACCATAAGTAGTGTGTCCTCCATAGTAAAGTGAAGTAGAATTACCATAAGTAATGTGTCCTCCGTAGTAAAGTGA